ATCTCATTTGAAGTTTATCTCTTACAATGAGCAAGTAGTATTTATTATGATCAAGAAAAAAAAGTCAATAGAGCTTTTAAAATCACCACAATTGCCAACGGAACAGGTAGGCGCTGGTTTGCTTTATATTGATTTTGTGTCCTGTTCGTCCCCATGCTTTTCGGATATGAGTCAGTAGTCTTTAAATCGTTACTAGGAACTACTTCAGACGTTCTCATTAGCAACCATCTCAGACATCATACAAAAACAAACAAAAAAAACTTCAGACATCATAGTCCCGATTAACCCAAATCCTTCCTACGCACTGAACAGCGACATGTGTTTATCTCGAAAACAATCAAGAGATTCTCAGGTGCATCTCAGCAACTCCGTCCTCCAACAAGCTACCATTTTTCTCAGGGGTGGTTTTATACGTAGTGTCTCCCCATGCGTGGCTTCAAAGAACTGGACAGCTCACGTCTCATGCCCTGTGCCCCCCACCTCGAAGCCTTTATTTCTGTCTAGCCCACACCATTCACCTTCTTCTCAGAATGAATGAATGAATGAAAAGAAACAACCATGGTCACCATGTGTAGTATGATTAGCTTTCTGGAGGGCATTGCACGCTCCAGATCCCATCCCAAGCACCCTAGGTGCGTAATGTCTCTTATCTTCTCAGCAACCCTGTGAGGTGGGTGCTATTCTCATTCCTATTTCACCACGAACTGAGGTTCAGAGACATTGAGTGACCTCCTTAGTCACATAGTGCACAGTAAAGTGGGAGCACACCCCAGGCAATCTGATCCCAGAGCCCCAAGGTCTTGGCCCCAAACCACAAAATGTCATTAGTCCCCAATCTTCTACTTATTAGTGGAAAAACAAAGAGAAAACCCAACAAAGCAGGAACTGAGGCGGGAGAATTCAGAATCTCCTTACCACTCACATTTTCTGAGCCCCTGCCACAGGCCAGGCAGTGGGCGAAGCACTTGAAAGCTGGTGTCCAGAGTGCCTGGGGGGCTCAGTCGGTTAAGTGTCTGACTTCAGCTCAGGTCATGATCTTGCGGTTTGTGGGTTTGAGCCTCGTATCGGGCTCTGTGCTGACAGCTCAGAGCCTGGAGCCTGTTTCAGATTCTGTGTCTCCATCCCTCTCTGCCCCTCCCCTGCTCACGCTCTGCCTCCCTCTGTCTCTCTCTGTCTCAAAAATAAATAAACATTAAAAAAATTTTTTTTTAAAGCCAGTGTCCAGTTCAAGCCTCACACCAGCACTAAGGTGTCTACTATTGTCCACATTCCGGAGACAAGAAACCCAAGGCACTGAGATGGGAATGACTTGCCAGGGTACCACAGTCAGTAGGTGGCAGACTCAGAATCAAACCCAGGTCACCCCACACCCCCGCCCATGTTCTCAGCCACGATTCTTCCCCAGAGAGATGGAGAAAAGCAGAGAAGATGACCCAAAGTGAGTCCCAGTTCAAATAGGGTCAGGACTCCCGCAGGGTGAGCCAGAAGGAGGCTGCAGCGACCGCTGGTGACCTTTCTCCACACAGGCTTCAGGGGTGGGGGGAGTCCCATGTCCTCGGAACGGAGGGGATTGAAGGCTCTTTCTTTGTCATCTCAATGCCTAGAGCCCCGACCTGTACTTCTTTTTTTTTTTTTAATATTTTATTTATTTCTAGGAGAGAGAGAGAGACAGAGACAGCGTGAGTAGGGGAGGGTCAGAGAGAGAGGGAGTCACAGACTGAAACAGGCTCCAGGCTCTGAGCTGGCAGTCTGCACAGAGCCCGACACGGGGCTCGAACCCACGAACCGCGAGATCATGACCTAAGCGAAAGTCGGACGCTTAACCGACTAAGCCACCCAGGCGCTCCCGACCTGTACTTCTTCTCCGTCTCCTTCGTGCCCAGCGCAGCACCTAGCACCACGTGGATGCTGAATGCATAGGTGCGGAACAGATGCGTGAATACACATCTCCCTCTGCCGAGGGACAAGGATCAGTAGGCGTTGTGTGATGGAAGCAAAGCCCACACACGTCATCGGTACCCAGTAAGGACATGCTGAATAAACCAGTATGTGAAGGGATGAGATTATTTCAAGGAGAGGGTTACTAATAGGATCCATTGCTACAAGACATTACAAATAATGGATATTGAAAAAAGGGGCTAGCAGATTTGGCCATTAAGTTCACATTATAATACCAAAAGAAAAGAAATCATCTATTATAATCTATATGAGTCTACTTGCGCTCCTCTAACAAAATACCACAGACTGGGGACTCGAACAACCGAAGCTTTGCCTCACAGCCCTGCAGGCTGGAAGTCTGAGATCAGGGTGCTGCAGCCCAGTCCGGAGCTGGTGACAGCCATCTTCCCGGCTTGCGGATGCCTCCTCACGGTGGCCTTATGTGGCAGGCAGAGAGAGTGCAGGGTCTCTTCCACGTCTTAGAAGGGCACTAATCCCATGATGAGAGCTCAAGCTATGACCTAACCTAACCCTATTTCCCTCCTGAATTCCTTCTCTCCTAATACCATCATACCAAAAGCTAGTGCTTCAACATAGGAATTTGCAGGGTGAAGGGATACAAGCATTCAGTCCATAACATCCGTTACGAGGAGATTGGATTAAATAAGTCATGGTGTATCAAAACTTAGAATACTTTGCAGCATTTAACACATGATCATGTATCATCTTCACAGCACCCTTAGAGATAGATGCGAGGGCTCCCACTTCTTACAAACGAAGAAGCAGAGACTTATTTGGGGTCCCTTCGCAAAGGTTCAGGGCCGAGCCAGGTTCTGAGCCAGGCCTGTACCACACCACGGCCATGAGGCTAACCACCAAGTCTTCAAACAACAAGGCCTTCCTTTCACCCAGCACAGCACCTGGCAATCAGCAAGTGTTCAGAATAATAACTGCTGATCAGAAAGCAATAGAGAGGATGCAAGAAGTGATGGATGGGCGGGGGTAGTTGCGTTTGCCTTGGGAAAAAGGGCAGAAACAGGAAGAGGTGAGGAATGGTGTGGAGAGATACACGGAGGAGGCCCCGGGCCATGAGTGAAGACTCAAGCTTCCCCTCTGGGCAGAAAGCATTTGGAACAGTCACTGCATAATCTAACAAAGGGAGAAAGAAAAGAAGAAACGCGCTCTTGCCCACAGGAAGACTCAGGTATGTTCAGAGAATACAAGCCCTGGGAGAAAACACAGCAGTTGGCCCCAAACACTTCCACTTTCTGTCCTAACCCAGTTCCCCTGCCTGTGCTGGGGCATGGAGCCCCCACACTCCTATGGAAACAAGCCACCTGGGTAATCACAGGCCCTGGACCCCAGAGCAGATCAATAACATGTTCCCTTGGAAACTGGGGAAAGGGGCTCCTCTGCTGGAGAGGAGGACTCTTCCTCCTTCAGCACCTCACCCCTTCCATCTCAACCCTTCACACACACACACACACACACACACGTGTGCCACTTCCCACTCGCACACAAACATTCCTGTGTTACCCACTCCCCCACCGCACATGCACACACAGCCCTGTGGGACCTGCTGTGAGTTAGGACCCCACCTCCCAAAGCCATCATCCTCCTCTTTGCCAACAGATCCTCAACTGTGTTCGGGAAGACAAGGTGCCTGCTCCAAAGCCAATTCTACTTGCTTTTGCCAGATCCTCAAGTTCCAGACTCCCTTGCAGCTAAGAGTGATCATGTGACCCCGTTCTAGCCAATGGGACAGAAGGGGCTTTTCATGGTGGGCCGAAGCATGGGCGTTGGGGAAAGAGTTTTCATTTGCTGCACAACTGAATTTAGGTACATCAATTCTCAGCTCCTTCCAGGACCCTCTGGACAGAAAGTCTAAGGTTTCTGACTCCTTTGCAGCTGAGCTTCTGGATATGAATTTGTCTGCCAACTGGCTACACTTGCACAATATTTTGAAGATGGACATGCGGCAGAAGCATCGTCCTGCGGCTTGGGCTCTTTGGTGCTGGTAAACAAGTTTGCAGAGATGCGGAGGTGTCTGGTCTCCAGGTGGGTGTGGACAGGCTGTTGTGGTGGAGACACAACCCCCCTTTCCAGAGTCCAGTAACCTGTCCCATGGGAGCTGGAAAGCAGGTGCGGTGGCGGCAGTTTCCTGACCCCTGAATCGCAGCTACGGCAGTATGTTCTAGAATTGATTCATTCCACCGGCCAGCTCCTGATGCCCACCTTCTCAACTGTGGCTGAGGGGCCTCCTTCTCTTCCCGGCCACTGTTGCTGTGTCCGGGGAGTCTCCTGGGGGCTCAGCCTACTACCACTTCTCTAGCTTTTCCAATGATTTTCCAAGCACTAGTTCCCCGTGCTAAATTCTTTTCTTCTAAAATAGCTAAGATTTAGAAACATTCAGAATCCTCTAATTTCAACCAAAAAATTCTAAATATGTTAGGCCTGAGAAGTGTACGAAGATAAGAAGCCTCAGGGAAGCCTCTACTTCTTTGAGCCTCAGTTTCTTCTTCTGTAGAATGGAGACCAAAGATTATTATTATCATTATCATCCGTTAATGGTTATTAGATACTGTGACCCACTGTATTTCTCAAAGATGGTCACAACGGTATTTCCATCCCACGAGCCTTGCTCATGTGACCTCTCCACTTTCCATCACGTTGGAAAAGTGTAACCCCCTCACTCTCGAATCTGGGCTGCCCCCCGCCCCCCGACTCTTCTAACCTACAGAACACCGCAGAATCCACGCAGCATAAACTCCAAAGATCGGGAACAGGCACGAATCTCCCGCCCCGCGAACTCTGCCAGGCGCTCCGGGTCCGGCCCCGCCCCCTCGGCGTTCGGCTCCGGCCCCGCCCACCCCGCGTGCGGCCCTTTCCAGAGGGGCGGGGGCGGTGGGCGGGGCCTGGAGGGATCGCGCGCCTCTGGCCCCGCCGACTCCGCCTCCGCGCGCGGCTCGGGAGCCGGAGGGGCGGGGTGGCTGGGCGGGGCCTGGAGGGATCGCGCGGCTCCGGTCCCGCCCACGCCGCTCCGGGCTCCGGCTGCGGCGGGTCCCGCCCACCGGCGCCCGCTCCCACTCGGGTCCGCTGCGCCCGCGGCAGCGCTCCGCCGCGCGCCATGGCCGGGCTGCTGGCGCTGCTGGGCCCCGCGGGCCGGGTGGGCGCCCGGGTCCGGCCTCGCGCTCCCTGGCCCCTGGGCGTCGCTACTCCCTACGCGCCGCCGCCCCTGTTACTGCCGCGGCTCCGGCCCGGGCCCGGCGCCCCGCTGCTGCGTGCGGCCCGCGGGCACAGCCGGGGCCACCAGGTAAGCCTCCCCACCCCCACCCTGCTCCCGGGGCGCCCGGACCCCGGCCCACCTCCGCGGAGGGACAGCCTCGCTTGCCCAGCTGCGTGAGACCGAGCCCCTCCCGGGTTCCCACGGCCCCAGCCCCTACAAGCCGAGGTGGCGAGCCTCCCAGTTGACAGCCGGAGAAATTGAGGCTCAGGGCGGTCTGGTGACCTGCCCAAGGTCACTCGGCCCCTGGCAGAGCCCCGGGTTCCCGGAGCGTCGGCCGGTACGTGGTGGTTGCCCAGAGAACGGTAGCTCGGCCTGAACTTGGAACCAAGGACTTCCCTTGACTGTCACAGTCGTTGGCTCTGCGAGCGGCGCTGGAGCCGCCCCGGCACAGGGCGGGGGGCGAACGGCTCGGGGCGCTGCCGCCCTGAGCACCTCCCAGCACTTGCTGCTACTCCTTTTTATCTAATCAAAAGACCAGGCCTCCCCGCCAGACTTCAGGCGAGACTCGTGCAAGAAACACACTGTTGTTTCATCCGGTTTCGTTTCAGTTGCCTTCAATGTATGGTAAGTGACACTGTTTGCCTTCGGAGTGGTAATACGGACTTTCCTGTAAGAAAAAAAATCAGTTAGGTTTTTGTTTTGGGGTTTTTTTTTTAGTTCCTCTCCTTAAAACGGTAGTAAAGTAGTGCAGCCTGGAGACACAGGGCTAACAAGCTGGGACTCGAAGAACCCGGCCTCCTGGCCGAGGAGCGCCCCAGGTTTGCCTGCCTGCTTCTGTCGTCCCTTCCCCAGGGGCTGGGACTCCAGCCCCTCCGCTCACCTGCCATGTGAGTGACCTCACCCCAAGGAGGCTGCAGGCTCTGAGCCTGTTTGCTGACTTTTCAAAGGACTACAAGTAGGACCTTCCCCAGAAGAGCTGGGAAGCAGGCCTGAGCAGGGTGCCAGTGGGGCTTGCTGAATGAGGGTTCCCTGGGGATTCGACTCACACCCTTCCTGGGCCTCCTGCTCCCCCCTCTGGTAGGCAGTAGATCTTGTCTCTAAATCCTGAGCCCTCTACACACATCTGGCTGCCTCCCAGTGATAGATCTTCATGAATCAGCCCACCTGTCCCTTCCTCCAGGAAGCCTTCCCTGACCACCAGTGATACCTTGGGTGCCTCCACTGCCCCCTCGCCCCCGTCAGTCCCTGCACTTGTCATCTGGAATGGTCTGACTTGCTGGTGTGTCCCATCAGCCACATTAGCTTTGTCCCCAGCCCAGGCCTGGCGGGTTTGTGTGTGAGCATGCACAAACGTGTGTATGTGTGTGCATGATGTGTGTATTCAGTGGTGATACATATGGTCTCAGATTCCCCGTATCCCTGCCTCTACTCACTAGTTCTGTGGCCTTGATCAGATTCCCGCATCTATTTCTCAGTTCTTTTGCCCATAAAATGGGATGTTGACAACTCACATTTCATGAAGCTTGAGAAACAAGGTAACGTGCGTATCTGGCAGCGGATGTGTTCTAAATTAATGTTAGCTACCGTTGTTAGTGTCACAGTCAGTGTGTAAATCCAGGGCCCCTTCGGCTGCTGGTAGATGGGCAGGATCCAAGTGGGATCAGAACCTAACAAGATGTTAGGCCAAAACATACCCAGCACTCAGTGTCACTTCCCCAGTGGGGCCTGGGTGCAGGGGGAAGGCGCCCCTGGCAGCTGCCCCTGGAACTCACAGGCCCCTCGGTTTTGGCCACTGGGAGGAGGGAGTGCAGTGCGGTCTCCAAATGTGCCAGGAATTTAAGTACCCGAGAGACACACGCATGGCTGCCTTCAGTGGGGGGGTCTCCACTCTAACTGGGAGAATCCTGCCCTTTTCACTTAACCCGAGTCAGTGTCCTGTTCCCTAACAGAGCGGCCCAGCCCGCCTGCACTCACACTGCGGGAGGGAAATCTGGGGCAAATGACTGGCTCCCTTTGAGCCCCGGTGTCTTCACCTCAGTCGGTTCTGCTCACGTGCTGTCTCTTCAGGGAGCTGCTTCCTGATGACCTTCTGTAAGCTGGCAGCGCCCCCGCCCACAGTCCGACCCGCCTGCCTCCCCTCCCGGCTGTTTCTCCACAGCACTCGTCACATCTAGCAGCCCCGGTGCTTTGCTTTTCTCTTTATGCCCCTTCCCTCCCAGGAGACCCTAGGCCCCCTGAGGGTGGAGTTTTGTCTGCCTCGTTCATTGCTCAGTCCCCTACACTTACAGCCGTGCCTCGCGTAGAGCTGTTATCCATGAGTAGGCACATAGCCTAGTTATTAAGGCGAAAGCCTTGGAACCAGACTTGGCGGGTTCAGATCCCAGCTCTGACAGATCATTCCTGTGTGACCCTCTGAAAGGTAACTCAACCTCTCTGGGCTTCCCGGATCCTCTTCTGTTAAGTTAGGATGACGTAGTGCGTGTCTCAGAGGTTGTTGTGAGGATTATCTGAATTAATATTTTCAGAGTATTCAGAGCAAAGCTTGGTGTAAGCAAATACAACGTAGTGTTCAGTATTATTATTATTTCCTAGTGAACGATTGAAAACAGGTATCGCTCCAGACAGTGTGAGCCACTCGTGAACAAAACCTTTGGCTTGTTCCCCAAACCTTCCTGCCCTTTCTCATACAGCCTTTTGTATTTTAATAGCTATGAGGGTTGAGGGGAGGAGGCAGCCTCTCTCTCTCTCTCTCTCACACACACACACACACACACACGGATTAAAAGCACCTTGGCTAAGCACAGACACTAGGGGATGTACAATGTTACATACACGCGGGGCCGTGCCTGACATATCAGATCACAGGTACTTAACATGTTATTTCACAAAGAAATGAATGCCTGGAAATGTTTCCACTCCTTGCAAGTTACTCCCTCCCACATTCCTTTATTTTAGCTTCTTCAGGCTCCTCCGGGGTTAGGAAGAACAGGGATTGGCTCACAATGCTCAAAGAGACTTCCTTTCACCACGATAAAGGGAAGAAACCCGTCCAAGATTCTAACTCTAGAAAGTTAGCAATGAACCCGGCTGCTGGCTAACAAGGGATCGTCCGTGTGGCTGAATATTTTATCCCTCCCGTTGTTTTGCAGTAAATGCTGCTTATTCTGTAGCTGGAAGGCTGGCTGCCTCTGTATTTTTCTTTTTTGGCCAAAAGGCCTTTTGCCAGAACCGAGGTCGTAAAGAAAGGAGCCCTCAACAGAGACAGCGCCACTCAGCTCTGGTGAATGGACAGCCGGGGCATAATTAAGTTCTGTCGGGGCAAGTGTCAAGGGTGGGAAATGAAAGGGGCTTTCTCCCTCCTCGGCCTCAGGACTCTGGCTGGCACTTGGGCTGTAGATCGTAGATTACTGTCCTATCAGCGCCTGGCATCCGGCAGCCTCCATCTGCAGTGCTTCCTCAGCAGTGGAAGGGCGGGTGGGGCCTTGTTTATCAGCAAGAGTCTGAGCTCTGAGCAGCCGTTCTGGCCGCTGGCTGCTGGCCGCTGGCCGCTGGGCAGTGGGTGGTGGCCGCTGGCCGCTGGCCTACAGAGCCAGACAGAAGCTTGGAGGAAAGGCAGGATCGCATGTGCTGGCAGCCCTAAAGGGACTGACTGGTTTCCCTGCCCCCAGCCAAAGCCTTGAAGTCCTGGGAAAGCGGTCCAGAACTTTAGGCGTGTTCAGCCTTTATAGGGCATGAAAGCAAGTCTGACCACAGAAGCCATGTGGCCTCATGGTGGCCAGTGCAGTGACCAGGCCAGGCACCGCCAGCCAGCTCGCCGCTTCCCCAGAACCTCAGTCTTTCCCCAGAGTCACAGAGGCGCCCACTCCTGGGTTTACCATGAGGGGTTTTACAAACGACACCTGCCAAGTGCTAAGCCTGGGGCCTGCCCTGAGGACACAGATGGTTTTCCCCAGGCCTTTCCTAAATACTATGGGGCTACCTAGCAGCATGCACTGCCTGAGGGGCGCCCGGCCGCCTCGGTGGTGGAGTGTGCCACTCTGGATCTCGGGGTTGTCAGTTCGAGCCCCATGTTGGGTGCACAGATTACTTAAAAATAAAAAATAAAAAGAATTAAAAAAAAAAAAAAGGAATGCACTCTCTTGAGACCCATGATCCAGTCCTGGATCTCAACCGCCTGTCCCCTTTTGTGAAGTCTTTGTTTTCTTAAGTTTGCAAGTGGCCTCCACGTTCAATTCCCAGGAATGGGAGCAGCATTTAATGATATTGAGGTTAACTCCAGGAGCGAAGCTTACGGGGAGGAGCCCACCATGCACGGCAGGAGCACCTGAGGACAGGGGAAGGCCCTCCATGAGAACATGCTGAGGGCAGGGAAGAGCCGAGAGGGGGAGGCAGGGCTGGGAAGCAGGGGCTTTCCTGGCAAACCCGGGCAACCGATAACTAACCCCTGCGCCCAGGCCTCGCCCCAGAGCACAGAATCAGCCGCTGCGCACCTGGACAGAGGTACAGATGGACTGGGAGCACCTGGGCCACCTGGAAGCTTGCTGAGTCAGAGCTCAAGCCTACAGGGCAGGGGCGGGGCTGGGAGGGCCCCTGCAGCCCAGAGGAACCTTGCTGGGTGTGGAGGTACTGCGCTAGGTCCCTTTGCTGTTTTATTTTCCCTCTGGGGAGTCCTGCCCCTACGACGTGGGGACTCCGGGCTGTCACGCATCTCCCTCGATGCTGCGCACTCTAAAAATATAAGGAAAAAAGCCTTCCTGCTGCAAGGCGACCCAGATACTTCCTCCCAAGAAGAGCTGGGAGACAGGTCATCAGGATTCAAGAAATCATTTCATAAAAAAGTACTCTCCATATTGAGAAGGAGCTTTTTAAAAAAAATTTTGTTAATGTTTATTTACTTTGAGAAAGAGACAGCATGAGCAGGGGAGGGGCAGAGAGAGAGGAAGACAGAATTCCAAGCAGGCTCCAGGCTCCGAGCTGTCAGCACAGAGCCCTATGCGGGGCTCGAACCCACAAACCCGAGATCATGACCCCAACAAAAGTAGGGCACTTAACCAACTGAGCCACCCAGGAGCCCCAGAGCTTGCCTTTTTTTTTTTTTTTTTTTAAATCCGGTGTTTTTGGGTTTTCTGTTTCCCCCTGTAGGTGCTCAATAAATGTTAATAGATGCGCGTTTCTGTGCAAACCCCAGGCAGTGCATTTATGGCCCAGGAATCAGCCCTCCCTCTGTCTGTCCAGAGCTCAGGGGTGAACCTCGATTCTGTTGGTGAATCTGCCATAGCTTCTGGCCCACTGTATTTCGCACACGTGCCCTGGTTTGTGGATCTAGGACGCGTGTCATATGTTCAGGCTGTGGACCCAGAGGCCCTGGGTTGGAGTATTGGTGGCTTGGGGCCAGTTCTTTGGCCTCTGGAACCCTGTGTTGCTCCTCTGTGATTTAGGAAGAAAGTTAGGATCTACCTGGAAGTGGGTTGTGAGGAGAGTGCACAGCAGGTGGAGAGAGGCATGCGAGCCTTGCCCGGCTCAGAGAAGGTGCTTCACAAAGCACGCGTGTGAACCCCAGGTTTTAGTTACTGTTGCTGCTCGAACAGCTTACCGGAAATCAGGGGCTTAAAACGACACAGACTTATTACAGGAGCGGAGGCCAGAAGTCTAACATGGGTCTGCAGCGGGCTAAAGTCGAGGCGCTGGCGGGTCCCTTCGGGGGGCTCTGAGGGAGAATCCGTTTCCTGACTTCTCCAGTTTCCACGGGCCGCACGCACTCACGGGCCCGTGGCCCCTTCGCCCGGCTTCCAAACCGGCAGGACAAGCCCCTTCACTTGTGCCGCTGCTTCTGTCCCCACATCTCGCCGGACCCTCCTGCCTCCCTCTCTGCAGGGAGAAGGGCCCTTGGGATCACACCGGTCCCCCTCGGGAAGATCAGTGACGATCTGCCCATCTCGGGACCCTTAGCCTTAGTCACAGTGCAGAATCGTTTTGCAACGTAAGGTAACGTATTCACAGGTTCTGGAGATTAGGACGCGGACATCTTTGGGGCCCATCGTTCCGGCCATCGCACCCGACACCCGGCCGTTGGGTGCACTCCGTGTTGACGTGGGCATTCGCCTCAGCTGACTGAGGAGGAAGAGGGCGACGGGTCTCCCACGGGGTGGGAAGGCGCGCGGAACTCAGGGCGACACGTAAGCTGCCCGTTCCTGCCCCAGCACCTCTCCCGTCTCTGGTCTCCGCGCAGGAGCCCAGCCGAATCCCTGCGACGACCGGCAGGGACGGCGGCAGCACAGAGGAGAAAAAGCAAAGCAAGTCCCAGCAGCTGAGAAAGATTTTTCAGGAGTATGGTGCCGTCGGCGTGTCGCTGCACATCGGAGTCTCCTTAATCTCCTTGGGCGTCTTCTACACGGTCGTCTCAAGGTAAGGTCTCTGGCGGTGACAGATCTTTCTTTACGATCAAAGAGGCTTCTTTGTGAAGGAGAACATTTTTCGTACGAATTTTTTGTGCATTTAGCTACTTTCATCACATTTTTTAAATACTTAAAAAAAAATCATGTTTATTTGTGAGAGAGAGAGAGAGAGAGAGAGAGAGAGCGAGCGAGAGCGAGCATGAGCAGGGGAGGGGCAGAGAGGGAGGGAGACACAGAATGGGAAGCAGGCTCCAGGCTCTGAGCTGTCAGCACAGAGACCGACATGGGGCTCAAACCCATGAACTGTGAGATCATGACCTGAAGTCAGACACTTAACCGACGGAGCCACCCAGGCACCCCACATTTTTTAAATACCTTAAATTTTAGAGCCAAATCTACGGTCTAATCCTTGGCAGTAATAATCTTTTTTTTTTTTTTTTTTCCTTCCCTCCCTTGCCTCTTCCCCCAGCGGTGTGGACATGTCTGCAGTCCTGCTTAAGCTCGGATTCAAGGAGTCGCTGGTACAGTCGAAGATGGCGGCGGGCACAAGCACCTTCGTGGTGGCCTACGCCATCCACAAGCTGTTTGCACCCGTGAGAATCAGCATCACCCTGGTCTCCGTGCCCTTCATCGTCAGATATTTTCGCAGAGTGGGACTTTTTAAACCTCCAGCTGCAAAGCCTTGATGAACTCTTCAATTGTGGGCCTAAAAACCTAGTTCTCTAAATAGAATTTGGGGCTAGTCTTAGGATATAGCTTTTTGGGGGTAGGGGGGGCCGGAAACGAATTGCTATGTTCTCATGAGTAAGTTTTACCTTTCCCAGCAAAATTCAGGGTTTTTTAAAAAAAATAATTATAATTATTTTGCTTCACAAATGTAAATGCTAATCATCCCGGGGCTTGGATACCTCATCTAAAATGTCAGCAAAACATCACAAATCGAGCTCCAACAAATTTGTCGTCTCCAACAAATTCCTTCTGGAAGATTGTTGGTGAGGTTCTCGTCTGCAGAAGCCCCAGGGGCCCGTCTCTGCTCTACTTCGTAAAGGGCAGCGATTCATTAAGCTGGTTTTAAAAAGTCCCCTTTCTCCAATATCTGCTCTCAGGCTGCCTGTGGTTTAATATGCAATATTCTGCAAAATGGCTGCCAGGGCCACGATTAGTGAAGCAGGATTTAAGCCTTCCCAGTATGTAATGAGGATCTAAATTAGCATCAACACATTGACATTCATTATACTTGTTTCACGGGGGAGAAAACAACACAAGTATTTATGTTTTGTTGATCCTAAACCCCCTTCCCATCTGGACAGGACGGGTGCCTACGTCAGGTGGGTTTTCTCAGATTTCATGAAAGTAGGTCGGGGTTGTCTGTCCCTGTTTAGGTAAAATATGGAGACTTTGTCCAATGGTAATGGCATCACTTGGCTTCGGCCGGGCCTCGTCCACAGGTGCATTTGGACACTGCGCATACAGAAAGCTAAGACAATCTTTGCTCAACCCTCTAGATCTCCAACTTCAGACATTCCAGAACTATGGTCACAATGTTTGCATTGTGGCTACTTCCATTTTTAATTGAGTCGAAATTATGTTATATATGAAAAGGTTTTGTATCACTCTCTAAAAGAGAAACTGAGTAGCACTTGCTGTAAATGGGAGACAACTGCAAAATAATACAAAATAACCGAAACAGGGATGGAGGGACGGGGCGGGGGGGGGGGGGGGGGGGGTAATTACTTTCTGTTGATCCAGTTTTACCCGGTNTGTTATATATGAAAAGGTTTTGTATCACTCTCTAAAAGAGAAACTGAGTAGCACTTGCTGTAAATGGGAGACAACTGCAAAATAATACAAAATAACGGGGGGGGGGGGGGGGGGGGGGGGGGGGGGGGGGGGGGGTGTTTGTAATTACTTTCTGTTGATCCAGTTTTACCCGGTAAAGGGTATCTGATCTGAGGTCTTCCCCTTTGCTGTTAGGGACATTCATGAAGAACAGAAACTCAAGCTCACAGATCCAAATTGAGATTGCTGTCCCTGAAGCAGAGCGGAGCAGAGCAGGCAAACCAGAGGGAGGTCCCTTCTGTGGGATTCATGCCAGGCTGTACCCACACAAAGCATGTCCACACCAGGAACCCAATTCAGCCAGTCCTACCCTGCCGCCATGGCCGAGGGGGGTCCAGTTTTTGTTTGCTTAACTGCATATGTGACAATCAGCTAAAGGAACCAGAAATTGACCATCCTGCTTTTACCACCTGGCTGCTGACAGTTCCCTGGTTAAGCCTTAGCAACCTGTGTCTATAATTTATTTCAGTTAACTTTTCCAAGCTCTGCGGGACAAATCCTCCACTTGCAAGATCTTTAAAGTGGCCTTTTCTCCCCTTTTAAAGCAATTAGCCCATTGCCAAAAGGTTTTACCGATTTAAAGTTGGATCTGCCCTTCTGGGCTCTAATTCCAGGGACCTCTACACGGCTCAGCGAGAGGGCCTGGCGGAATCGGGCAGCTCCTCCTGTGGCCTGGTCTGTCTACACAGTTAGCTCCATGCTCCTAACCACCATCTCTACCAGTCTCCCTACCATTCCGATCCCCAGTCACGCCTATGCAAGAAAAGCTGAGCGTCCCTCAGGTTTAAGGGCTGAAGTCCGAAACTTTGGTTCCACGTTTGGAGGAATGGAAGTGGACAGACAGGGCAAGCAATAAAACCAGCCGTCAAACCAAACAGCCACGGCCTTCTCAGTCGGCCCCACCTCCATTCCACTCCTGCGGCCGGTGGGCCCAGCAGAACAGACACTGGAGACGCTGAAATCAAAGGGTCCAGGACTACGTGAATTCACCAGCAAGATGTACAGATCGCTCGTACTTAACGTTGTTTCTGTGGAACTAGGGGAATAAAACATGATCTATTTTTAAAATGTAAGCCATTGTTCAGCCCTAATTTTGTATCCGACGAAAGGAGCCGCTTGAATTCCGTGAAAACAAATAAACGTCTTTGTAGCCAATGAAGAGCTTTGCCTTTCTCTCCGGGAAGGGGGGAAGGCGGCCGGACCTGCCGCAGGTTATCAGTGAGGCAGCGCTGCGTGGGACTCGTTTGTTAACGCTGTGCTGCCACCGGGAGCTGTTTTCTTTGCTCATGTGGGATTTTGTTTGGGGAAATGACAGTTTAGCCGGTGTCACTGGTGAAATTAGTCACATCATGTTAACGATCACTTGGGTGGACGGTGTGTGAAATACTTACTCGGGGAATGGAGAAGTTGGTTTAGCTCAAGACTGAGGAGCAAAGCCTCCTTTGTCCCTAGGGGGCTGACTGGATGCACACTGCAGCTCTACCCAGTTGTTTTTTCAATCTTTTTTTTAACACTTATTTTTGAGAGAGACAGAATGAGCGAGGGAGGGGCAGAGAGAGAGGGAGACAGAATTGGAAGCAGGCTCCAGAATCTGAGCTGTCAGCACAGGGCCCGACATGGGGCTTGAACCCACAAACCATGAAATATGACCGGAGCCGAAGTCGGGTGGTTAACTGACAGAGCCCCCCAGGCGGCCCTACTCAGCTGTTTCGAAACTTCCGTGACTGCGTCAACAGAGACCGGTTTCTCTGTGCTGGCTTCTTTAGAATTAGACATTTCTCGCATCTACTTCCTTGCGTGGGAAGTTGGCCACGAAACCACGGTTCTCAGGAACTTGAACGCTTCCACTGTCAAGTTTACCATCTTTGGTTGAGATGATGCTGGCAGCTGGAAACAAATCTGGACCTTGATGCATGAGGAGCACATAGTCCAGGGAGTCACAGGGATGCACCTGCATGGCACTGGCTCACTTCGAGGCCAACAGTAAACAGGCAGTGGAAAGAATTACCCACGTAGCCTCACTGTATTTGTGCACTTACACTGAATGTTTACATACATGCCAGCACTCCAAAGTAATAAAAAAATATTAAAAACAACCTACCAAGGGGTGCCCGGGGGGGCTCAGTCGGTTAAGCGTCCGAGTTCAGCTCCGGTCATGATCTCTAGGTTCGTGGGTTCGAGACCCGTGTCAGGCTCTGTGCTGACAGCTTAGAGCGTGGAGCCTGCTTTGGATGCTGTGTCTCCTCTCTGACCCTCCCCCACTCGTGCTCTGTCTCCCTCTCTAAAGGTATCCCTGGGGAGCCAGATGACAGGGGAGCAGCTGTGAAGAGGCAGGAGGCTGGAGCACAGGTTGTGCCCAAATCCCCACGCGGCTGGGACAAGGGATTCCAGCCAAGCAAACAGGCCTTCAGAGAACGAAGGGCCACACTCGGAAAACCAGTTTGCAAAGAACCAGTTGACCCCACGTGTGGGGTGGGGCTCTTTGCATCGTCTGGAAAACACAGTCAGAGCCCGGGAGGCACAGGCAGGTGTGGGTGTAAATGACCGGCTCCTTCATCGCTTGGTCCATCCTGAGCACCTCAGCTCGAGAGAGCCCCGCGGTGCCCACGCTGTGCCAGGCACACCCACTTCCTTGAAATGCTGCTCACTCAGCAGGAGGAGGGCCCACTAACGGCTTCAGCACCCCGAGCTGGGTTATTACTGCACGGAACGCTCCTTCTGCAGGAACTACCACTTACTGGGCACAGAGGAAAGCCTGCGAGCCGGAGAGAGGGCGCTGGCTGCCTCCACGGCCCAACTCCTGGTGCATCTGCCAGCCAGTCACCCAGCCGTGTGCTTGCCCCATGGTGCCAGGCTTCCTGCTGCCCTCACCCCAGGCCACAGGGACCTCTCGCCATTCCTATGCCCAACCTGTAAGTCCTCCCCGCCCTTCAGGCCTAGCTCAGATGTCACTTCCCCTGGACACCTCTCCCACCTAATCACCGATCACAGTTTGCCAGGTCCCTGACTTGTCCCTGCCAGTCAGGGGCTCCCCCACTGCCCCGTCCCCACTCATCGTAGGGCAGGTGCATTCACGGGCCAGGCCGGCTCCGGAGCCCAGCCAGCACCACGCGGGGGCCTTCCCGCCTTCCCAGCAGACCCACGCCTGGCCCGGCACTTCCCAAAAGTAGAATGAACTGGGAAATGCATTATAATTTCAAGGTTATACACATGACTTTAATCATTTTCTATGTGACTTAATGTGCTTCACCAAAACTGTATAAATAAAACATCAAAACCACGAAAAGATCAGCCCTTTTACATTTAGGAACAGCAGAGACCAGCCTCACCCGGGCAGCCCCAAGACGGAGGTGGAGCGTGTGTCCCAAGTTCACAGGCAGAGGCCGCAAGCCTGCGCATCCGGCCCTCAACCACTTCCACTTAGCAGGGCTGGGGACAGACCCTGAACACGGTCCTGAAGGGGTGCCATGGAATCCACACAGCAGTCCGTACACAAATCTTTATTTTCACCTTCAAAGGAAAGAATCACAGGTTCATCCTGACAGCTTTCCTAGCCGCGGGCGCCGAGGAAGGCGGACGCACACGTAGGTGCTGGGTGGGTATTGCACACCTCCTTCACCGACGGGGTCAGGCCAGGTGGCCGCTCTCCCCGCAGTCGGACCCGAGCGGTCTTCCACGAGGACACCTGACTCGAGACAGGCTATGGGGAGGCTGCGGGTGGACCTCGTCTCCGGACTGTGGGAGAGGCCACAGTTCCTGCGGCTTCTCTTGCTCCAGAGCGCGTGTGCTGTTCGCTGAAGTGGACTGAGTTGGGGGGGTGGGGGGGCTGGGCCTGCTCAGCACGCCCTCGGTCACCCACAGGCCGGCAGCAGCGTCCACAGCCATGCCTTGCGGATTTCTCCCCCTGCAGGATTTTTAAGATTGTTTGCCGGTTGATTCTTTGCTTTTTTGGCTACTTGATGTTTTTGACGAATTTGCGGTGACCCAAGGGTGTTCAAGTACTTCTTTGAGAGTTGGCCTTTGGCTGGGGTTATGTTTCAACAGTCTTGAGATGAGGTCCCTGGCTCCCTCCGGTACAAAGTCAGGGAACGTGAACTCAACCTGGAGTACGATAAGTGACCGTCACAAAACGCGGCTTAGAGAGAACAGTATGTGTATTCAGCTCAGGGCCAAGGCCAAGGCTGACAAGAATTCTAAAAGAAGCAGGGGATCATTTCTCATTGGGTCTTACCCGCGATATTCTTTTGTAGGTCTCTTGGTATGTGCTGGCCTCGAACGGAGGCTTCCCAACTAGGAACTCATAGCAGAGCACCCCCAGGCTCCACAGGTCCACCTTCTCGTCGTGCATCCGGCCTTCGATCATCTCTGGGGGGAGGTAGTCCAGGGTGCCGCAGAGGGTGGTTCTCCTAAAAACGGAGGCAGGCTCGGGTCGATGCGCCTGTTTTTATGACCCCGAGAGCCGCTAAACGTCATGAACAATTACGCTAACATTGACTGGTGCCCTTCCAAGGCAGATCTGAGGCTATGTAACACTACTGAAATCCCCAATTTTAGACAAGAAACAGATTGAGGGGGACGTGCAGGATCACACAGCTAACAACCAGGCCATGCCCCAAAGGGGTCCCCCTCCAGAACCTCCTTATACAATCAAAAGTATAAGAAATTTAAAGTATCACTACTATATCAAAGCGGCTGGGAAAGGAAACTTGTCTCTAAATACAATTTGGGGCCCCATGGTTGTTTTTCTATTATAGAAATGCCAAGAGGCTTAACAGTCAGGTGACATTAGTGACAAGAAGCTAAAAAACCATCCCACTGGGAAAGCACTAGCTTTGGCGTTGCAGGTCCACGCGGCCTTCGGACACGTCATCATCACTGGCACAAAAGAGATACTGAAATGTGAGGGTGGCCCAGGAAGTACTCTTGCCAGAGGTCCTGTTCGGGCCCTCAGACCCACTTCCGGTTCTAAGCTACCACAGAAGATGAAGAACCAAGGTAAGTGACACCTCAATTAGAAAACTCCGGTTTAGGAGCGCATTGGTGGTTGAGCGTCTGACTCTCCCCATCAGCTCAGGTCACGATCTTGCCATCGTGGGGTCCGAGCCTCATGTCACACTCCAGGCTGACTGTGGTGCCGGCCTGGGATTCTTTTCTTCCTCTCTCTGCCCCTCCCCTGGCTTGCTCTCTCGCTCTCTCAGCATAAACAACCATTTACCAAAAAAAAAAAGAGAGAGAGAGAGAGAGAGAGAGAGAGAGAGAGGAGGGGCACCTGGGTGGCTCAGTAGGTTAAACGACTGACTTCGTGGCTCAGGTCATGATCTCGCGGTGAGTTCGAGCCCCGCATCGGGCTCTGTGCTGACAGCTCAGAGCCTGGAGCTGCTTCGGATTCTATGTCTTCCCCTCCCTTTCTCCCTCTCTCTCTCTCTCTCTCTCAAAATTAATAAATAAGCATTAAAAATTTTTTTAAATAAAATAGGGGCACCCGGGTTGCTCAGTCAGTTAAGCATCTGACTTCAGCTCAGGTCATGATCTCACAGTTTGTGAGTTCGAGCCCCATGTCAGGCTCTGTGCTGACAGCTGAGAGCCTGG